GGTTTACATTTATTATTTTCTGCTTGAAATATTGTTTAACCTTGGCGATCACTTTGGAATTGTGTTGCATTTTGCAAGCGATGGATGCCAACATTATCTGGAGCTGTCTTTCATGTACAATCTCATGATTCTGCTACTACTATTATCATTCTCTTTTCAACTTCGAGATTATTGAAAGTATGCAATGAATCAAATTTAACAGTCAAGCATCCACGGGACTGTCAATCCTTCAATTAGCCATAATTTAAATTGAAAAGTGTGAACAATGTATGAACACATTGGATAAAGACCCAGTGATATTATACCTTCATTTATTTTTTCATCTTTTGACTTGTTACATCTTCAGTCGTTTGGTAGTCGGTCAAACTTTGATGCACCAAAGTTATTTCAAATCACCGATTATTCTTATTCTTATTCTGATATTACTTCAAATCACCAATTATTCTTACGCTGATATGGGATTGGGCGACTTGTGTTTGATTTTGTTGATGTGTATGATTGACGCAGGAAAATGACTTCCCTATAGAATTTAGAATTTGAAATTTCAAGATTGCTCGTTGCTTACTTCGTCGTTACGTATCAGTCACATAAATATTCTATTTCTACGAGGAAAATGACTTCCTCATATAATTTGATCCTATGTCTATTAGAAAAATAACTTCCTCGTAGAATTTGAAGTTTCAAGATTACTCATTGCTTGCTCTCTTGCATAGAATCCTTTTGATGAAGGAAATTCACTTTCTCATTACGTATCGATCCCATAAATATCCTATGTCTACGAGGGAAATGACTTCCTTATAGAATTTGAAGTTCCAAGATTACTTATTACTTGCTCTCTTGCATAGAATCCTTTTGATGAAGGAAAATGACTTACTTATTATGTATCAGTCCCATAAATGTTAAAATGTCCTATGTCTACGAGGAAAATGACTTCTTCACAGAATTTGAAGTTCCAAGATTACTCATTGCTTGCTCTCTTATATATAATCCTTTTGATGAAGGAAATTGACTTTCTCATTACATATCGGTCCCATAAATATCTTATGTCTACGAGGGAAATGACTTCCTCATAGAATTTGAAGTTCCTAGATTGCTCATTACTTGCTCTTTTGCATAGAATCTTTTTTATGAACGAAAATGACTTCCTTATTACGTATCAGTCTCAATGTCCTATGTCTATAATTTTCCTCACAGAATTTGAAGTTCCAAGATTACTGCTTGCTCTTTTGCATAGAATCCTTTTGATGAAGGAATTTGACTTCCTCATTACGTATCGGTCCCATAAATGTCCTATGTCTACGAGGGAAATGATTTTCTCATAGAATTTGAAGTTTCAAGATTGCTCATTACTTGCTCTCTTGCATAGAATCTTTTTGATGAAGGAAAATGACTTATTATGTATCAGTCCCATAAATGTCCTATGTCTATGAGGAAAATGACTTCCTTATAGAATTTGAAGTTCCAAGATTGCTCATTGCTTACTCTTTTCTCTTTTCATCATCTTCAGTATGTTTGTATCATCTTTTCTTTCTAATATCTTGCTTTTAGAAAATGAAGTAGATAAGCTATCTTTGATAAAATCAATTACAATAAGCTAAGCATTATCTTTACTCTTTAAGAGTCTTTTATAGTTTCCAAAGCTCCACTAGAGAATTGGATTGTTCTAGTTACATCCATTCTTAAGAATTGAACAATATACATCAAACTAGTTAGCTTATTCTTTACTCGTACTTCTGGAGTACTTGAAATGTTGTATTACTTGTATTGAGTTGGTTACTGAAATTCACATCCTCTCATTGAACTTCTAAGATGCTAGAAGTGTTGTTCTAAAAGATTAAAATTTTACGTCATCTAAAAGTGTTTTCCTAGAAGTATTGTCCTGGAAGAGTAAGTTTTTGATAGATCGGGTCATCTCTTTAGGATTGTATTAACTTTTTTATATTTTTTACTGTCCACTTCTCAGAGTGGAAAATGGTATCATAGCATGTTACCTACTCTCTTTTTAGTCAATCACCATTGCATCAATTTGAAGTCCCACATTTTCGACTATCTTATGAGCCCTTCGACACAATTCTTGTCGACACAATCCTTGTGAAGCTCTCTAGCAACTGCCCTTCTATCTTATCTTGATATTTAGAGTTTATCATTTCATTCTCCGTCGTCTCTCAACCCCCTTTTGCACCTTTCATATTAAAGAGCATAGGATTGATGATTATTTAAAAGTCCCACATTCGTAGTATCATAGAGTTCTTTAATACCGACAGCTCTGTCTCATGTCCATTTTCTTCCCTTTGTGATCAAAAGATATCTACTATGATATAATAGCACTTTCTTTGAATTCATCTTCATTTTGATTTTGATTTATGCATTATTTTAGTTAATTAAGTCTCTCTGGACTCATCATCGCTTTTGTGGTCCTACTAGGTTCGGATGTTTCAAGTATTTGTTAATTTATTTGTTCCGCTCTAATACTCTAGACAAAACCAGGACTGCTATTCAAGATGCGTGAGAAGGCAATGTCACACAGAGTGGCTAGTTTGCTAATCCATTTCGGTGCGCAAAACCTGCACCCAGAATGTAACTTAGCTTCGACTTAGTGTCATGAAAGCATCGCATTCATGCAACCTTACTAGGGTGCAGCAGGGGAACAGAGATGCTTTCACAGTTCAAAACTGTACATGTTTTCCGGGTTGCAGTAATGCTCACAGGCAGGAACTACATATGCTCACCAAACTGGTTTTTCCTGTGGTCCATCTCTCTACCTTCTTGTTATCTAATGCTTGATCTTGAACAAACAGTGATTAGGTGACATGAACTCTGCATGATGCTTTTTGACAACATGTACAGGATATACTTATATATTGTCACAGTCAACAAAGGTCCCCAAGTCTCCTCCATGGCTTGAAGACACACAAGAAAGGCCAGTCAAGGAACAAATATGGTGGTCCAAGTAACATCTAGGAAAGAGGGGCAAATATAGATTTAATTGTCAAGATCCAAGCATGAGTACCAACTGCAATAAACAATGAGAACATTTTCTTTGCTGTCATAATTCATGAAATTAATTAGTTTATGGTACAAAGTCAGAGGTTTGCTTGCCTCTCTGAATGCATCAGAGGTCAGAATATTAGCTTCTTCAGGAATTCCACTACACTTTCAAGCAACATAGAGGTTTTATAAGGTGATCATGTTTTCGATACTAGTCTGTTTTCAAGTATAAGGAGTCTTCGGAAATCAGGTAGTATGATATATGCCAAGATACTGAATGAGAAGCGAAATCTCTCTACATTTCTCTCATCATTGTTCTTAGATTTGCCATCAGTTGCAGCAGCACTTCTTTGAACACTGCTTCCCTTAGAAAGAAGAAGAAAAGAAACTACTTGTGCAGAGCATTTGAACAAAAAGACCACTGCATTGACCATGTAATGGTTCATACAAGTTGGGGATCGTACATAAAGATTGTCTAATGATCCATAGAACTATCAATGCCAGATCATATAACTCATATTTCATATAACTGGCATTCATAGAACATAAAGCTTGTGTAATGGTTTAATGCTGAATTCTGTCTCCTAAACAGCAGGAATGGGTCATTAGGTTGTGTTGATCCAATCTAACATTATCTAAACAACAACAATGATTCATGAGAGCAAAGTGCAAGAGGAGATGAATAGTTCAACCAAAAAGTTGTGGAGGAGTTGGATATGAAGGTGGTGCTCACTTGCCTCACCTCAAAGTCAAAGACCACTTAAAATACTTGTCTTAAACTAATGAAACAATCCCAGTCTCTGACAGAAACCCTAATCCAACGTCAGTCTCCTTCATGCTGGTGACATCATTTATCTCATTACAATACATACCTTTCTCCACCCACTTGGTTGCAACACCATTAATGGTTGTGTTCTTCATCTCTGATTCGTTATGCAAACTTGGTTTTAGGGTTCTTAAACAACTCTACTTGTTATTTAATTGTGAGGCCTACTTCTCGTTCGACCTACTCAATAAATTGTTGGTGGAGGGGGTGCAGATTCATTCACTGTCCTCATAAGAAGGGAAGATGACTTCCATTGTACACGTAATCCCAGCTGTGAAGGTTGATTACCTTCTTGTGCTGCTCTATGGACAATTATGACATTGATAGTTAATGCAAATGCATGCATGAGGCATAACGTGCATGCGTCTTCAGCCTCTTCAATAGCAAGCATATATAAGTTCTACTTGCAATTAGGACCACGGTTTGGTTTAGTGTGATGGATACAGCTTCCTACTCTCTCTCTCTCTCTCTCTCTCTCTCTCTCTCTCTCTCTCTCTCTCTCTCTCTCTCTCTCTCTCTCTGTATATATATAATATGATGGGTGTTGCAATATACAAACATATTGAATAGTTCGAACTTTTGGGATTATTAGTATTCCAATTAAAACTGAATTGATAGTTTGCACTTTGCTTCAGTTTGACAGGTCAGTAAGACAATTAGGGTTGACCAATTCCTCATCTTTCGTTCCCATTTTACTTGCAGTATGATCATTCTGATGACAGTTAGTATAGGGTTTGGAATCTCTATATCATATCTCTGTTGCATCATGACATTACTGTTGTCAATTCTTCCAGGATCACGAGTTCTGGTAGCCTTCTTCTTCTCAAAAGTCAAAGGCACCCTTGAAGCCAAAGCTTAGCAAGAAGATTGCCATTGACTTCGTACTAATGTCTTTATCTTTTCCACCCATCCTAACAATCATATCAAATTTGAATGGGATGAACAGTGATGGAGTATTTGCCTTGCGTGCACCACATTGTGATCCAAAAAAGTGACATGTAAACAAACAATGATGCATCTCTCTTAATTGTTTGATATTTTTCTACAGTAATAAATGGAGTAGAAAAGTGCCCCAAGTTGCCTTGCCAAGCCAACCTCAAAGCAGTGTGGTTTCTCTTCCTCCAACTGGCTTCTGCAGGGTTATCAGTGTCCTCAGCCTATATACAAACACCCATAGGATGAAGAAACCAAAGGTTACATGAGACCTAACACAATACTCTTATCTTACTAAAGCTTCAATGTCATACCTCTCCTACTCTTTCCCTACCCTCTCCACTCTCCTTCCTCTTTCCATTTCCTGTGTGTTTATTAGCCAGAAGCTAAATATATCCCTACTTTCTCCAGTGATCTCTGTAGGACATGCAGGATCAGCTTAGCAGGGCAAAGAAACAAGCAATAGAACCCATATCCTCCCTCCCTCCCTCTCAATCATCTATCTATCTATCCATGTTTGTAGGTGCAAGACTCATCCTTTTGTAAAGCAATACATATATGATGATCTCTATCTCTCCTTCTTCATCTTCTTCTGATTGATACAAGTGAAGCCTTATATCCATCCTCTGAGGAAAGGAAAGATTTCCAACTGAGTTGCATCTATATGGAGGTGTTTACAGTACAGATGCCGTTCGCTGCCCCCTCCTCTTCTTCCACCTCGTCGGTGGCTTCCGACTCTGCCGCCCCTGTGGAGCCAGAGCATATGTTCGACAAGGTGGTGACGCCGAGCGATGTCGGCAAGCTGAACCGCCTTGTGATCCCCAAGCAGTATGCGGAGAGGTACTTCCCCCTCGATCCCTTGGCCGCGGACAAGGGCATCCTGCTGTGCTTCGAGGATCGTACCGGAAAGCAGTGGCAGTTCCGCTACTCGTACTGGGGCAGCAGCCAAAGCTACGTCATGACCAAGGGGTGGAGCCGGTTCGTGAAGGACAAGCAGCTAGAATCCGGAGACACGGTCTCCTTCGGTCGTGCTAGTGCAGGAGCGTCGGCCGGGCATGGCCGCCTCTTCATTGGATGGCGCCGGCGGAAACAAACCCAATGCCGCCCGCCGCTTCCCCTCCCACAGATCTTCTCTGCTGCCCGGTCGTCGGCACCACAGTGGGGTGGGCTTTTCCCGTTCGCCGTGCCTCCCGTGTACAATATGGCTTCGAACCATGGTCAATACGGAGGAGGCAGGCCGTATTCGCCGCCGCAAGTCAGGGTGCAACCCGGCGGCGGAGTGGCGGGGGCGTCATTACTTCTGGATTCAGCGGCGGTGATCCGTGGCACGGCGAAGACAAAGCGAGTCAGGTTGTTCGGAGTCGACCTAGAGTGTTCCGAGAGGGAGGAACGTGGAGACACCCGGCGGGATCTGCAGGTGCTTCTGCTGCCGAAACACTCTGCAATGGAGGAATGGAGCTGCTGAATCCAACATAGTCTGCGCAGGAGATAGGCCGCAGCCAAACATGGACCTCCGCGCACCCTTCATTCGATGAAGATGGAAGGAGATAAAAAGGAAGTATAGCCGAAGGTGCCAAGAGTTTGACAATAAGATTCTGGACTCGAATCTTCGTTCTTTTGCTAAAAAGAATCATATATCCTTTTCTCTCATTCTCGATTTATGATTAGGTTTTAAGATTCTGTCATTCTTTTTTGTTTTCTGTTTCTTTTTGGAGCATAAGAAATGATTCAAAGCATTACTATGAGTTAGAATGAGAGAAAAAGGCTCGATTGTGTATTTCAAACATATATGGAAGACAAAAAAAAGTTGAATTGCTTTAATCCTAATGGCCACCCCAACATATTTCCATCAAAAAGAGTTAGGTTTAAGATAATAAGATTTAGGTTCCTTTGATCTTTCCATGGAAATGAAAGAATGAGAGTTTCTTGTATCAATGATTTTTTTAATTATTTATGATATCAATGATTTTATTTGATTATTTAAATATGATAATTTATTTAATAATTTCTTATATTAAATAATTTTATATTAGAAGCTTAGTATTAGGAATGAGTCCTAAAATTTGAATATGATTTATGAAAGATTCATATTAAATTAATAAAAAAATAGAAGACATGTGTCACTAACTAACATAACGAATGTATCATATTTGTTATATTTTTTATACCTATACTTTTTTTAATGTATGTTTGGCACATTATTATTTTTGTGTTAGCTAATCCTAAGCAATTAGAAAAAAAAATGAAAAAAAATTACTAAAAGAGAATCTTACTGCAACCCATATAAGGAATTGAAGAAAAATTGAGGATTTGGACAAATTCATCATCCTTCAGATTAAATCTTTCTAAGACAAGTATTTTAGCTCATTCTATAGTGATTTCTATCCTTGATTTCATCTTATTTATGGGTAATTTATAGAGTTTTACCTTTTTTAAATTTCTTTAACCTTAATTTGAGTTGTAAACTTGCTAATCTGAAATTTATGAGACTTCTGGTCTATCTATTTTATTTTAACTATAATATATTATGTAGAATTTTAATTTAGGCAAAACTTAATTTTTTAAAAAAATTAGACTCTTATCTCTTTCTTTTGTTACTTTATTTGAACGATTTAGAATGTAAATATCCACCAAAATATTTATTTCTTTTGATTATTTGAATTCTGCTAAATAGAGAATATATTCTAACCTCTCTATATTAAATTTCTTGTAACTATCCGTAGATAACTCCAATTTATTCAAAGCTTATTTTATCTGAAAGTATAATTATATATCTTTCAAAAAAATATCTTACTTGAGTAAATTAGAGTATAATTTATTATCTAAATATCTAGTATAATATATCTCATATGTTTTGCCATAATATTTATTTTAAAATTTATCAATTCTTGCTTCTACCTTTATGAACTTGATTTCAACTAAAAATTTCTCTTTCAAATAAGTTTATGTGGTTGCTTTAAATTCTTGTATCTCTTATTATTAGTTTTTATCATATCTAAATGAGTTATGCAAAAGTTAATGTTTGCCTCACATTGTAAAAGTTCTTATTATTAGTTTTTATCGTATATATATATATATATATATATATATATATATA